TACCCCAGCGACTTAGGACTGCTTTTGTGCTCCAGGGTCACATATACCACGTCCTGGATCAACATTTTACTTTATAACATTATGCAGTTTTCATTTATATGCTGATTTTTTTGTTCGGGAGGTTTTGTACTCGTTCAGAAGATGTGTAATAGCGCCCCCGAGTGTATAACAGTGAAAACACAGAAAGCTGTAAAAACGGCGGGGAAGCGTTTTCTTGTAAAAGACGAGATAACTGGTCAGTGGCAGAGAAAGAGTTAATGTGACGTGCTATGACAAGAGTCGCTGCATCTTTTCCTACTGACTATTTTCATTTGTAACAATATGAATAAAGATTACATATACTGCAAATTTAAGCTCTGCTCTCCTGACTTAATTTACAATAAATCCCATGAATAATTAAATGCACTAAGAATCTCTGTTTTTGTTTCTCCCCCAATCCTCACATCTCTTTCCAGGTTTGTTTTCACACCGATGCATTGAAATGCAGCTGCCTCCCATTTTCACTTCTAATCCCAGCAGTGTTTACTGGAATGTTTCTAAAGCAGCTGACCACAATATTTGTTATCTGTACAAATGACGGAAATCACTTTGAAATATTATCACTCAATGTTGCAGTTAATGAACATTTTTAATTAAGGCAATTAATTAAACATATGTTACGTAATACAGACTAATGATATTTAACACGTCTGCAATATTGCTAGAGAAATAATCTAGCTTTTTGCTCTGTCAATATTTTTACACTTTTAAATTTCCTTTTAATGATCGATGTATGAAGGGTGAGGAGAATAATGTAACTTCATTGTACCCAGTTTTTGCAAATCCTTATTATGGCATTCATAGAGCGAATAGTTCGCCGATTGTTTACCAGAAGTTCCTCCCAAAATTCGTGCAAAGCGTCATGGGGCGTAGGAAAGAGATGGATAAATACAGGACATAATGAATAATCAGAACATCATGCAGCAGTGAATGCTCTCTTCCTCAAAGGTACACAGAGGTCTTCACCTGCAGCAGGTGATACACGAATGACTTCAACGCCCTGCGGCAGATCCAGCTCCTGGCATTACATTTCCAAAGTAACCTTCCTAACACTGTTTACCATAAGATCCATTACAAACCCATAACGACAGGAACTGCGTCCAGCTGTAGATGCCACATGTGCAGCAGCGACCTGCCGCTCTGAGTGATCTCCACCACCACCAGGAAGAAGCGAGCGGAGAAGAGCGTCCGGCTGGGAACTGAAGGAAGGACAAGCGTTCGTGACACACCACAGAAACACAACGAACGGTGAAAGAGAGAGAGAGAGAGAGAATGACTTACCAGAATCCTGCAGGTAATTGTCTGTTTTCTCATTTCCCAAGATCAGGTCCTCCTCAAACACATGCAGCAGCTGCGTCTCTTTCCCC